GTCCTCATTTTACCCACCTCGGAAGGATGGAAGGCTGAGTCAACCTTGAGCCGGTGAGATTTGAACCGCTGAACTGCAGATAACTGTCAGCTGAAGTGGCCTGCAGTACTGCACCCTAACCACTGCGCCACCTCGGCTCTTGAGGGAAAACTGATAAAATATGACTTCACTCAAGGCTGGATAGGGTGTGGGCAAGAGAACAGAAATGCGTGATTAACATTTTAACATTTTCCTACAAGTAAACAATGTGGCCATGATATAGGTCTGTTTTGCTGGCTACTGAAGCTGATTTATTTTGGACCATGCATATTAAGCTCAAGGCTATGGAATTCTGCCATCTCCAGACTGAAAGCAGAGAACTTGATTCTCTCTCCTTGTTCCCATAATTAATCAATATGGAGGCTGTTTCAGCTAGATAATAAGAGCCATGGTGGCACAGTGGTTGGAATACAGTATTGTAGGCTATTTCTGCCAACCGCCAGGAGTTCAATCCTCATCAGCTCAAGGTGGACTCAGCCTTCATAAGGTCAGTAAAATGAGCACCCAGATGGTTGGGGGCAATTTGCTGACTCTGTAAACTGCTTAGAGAGGGCTGTAAAGCATTATGAAGAGGTATATAAGTGCTCTTGTCTTGCTATTTGCCTCAACAGAATCCATTGATACAATTTGAAGGCAGTCCCAATATAGTCAAAAAATATTACCAATGCAATCCAAGATTAATTTTGTGAGAAGTCAAGGCAATGGATTCATTGGAGCTTATTTCTAAAGAAAGGATAGTATTGCTGCACATTAAAACAAAACAGTGTCCACTCTTACGTTCCAAATACAATTTACCTACTGATCGGGACAAGAGTTTCAGATTCATTAGGATTCCTAAAAATAGGCTGGACGGCATTGGTGCATGCCATCATGTCTTTAAGTGCAACACAAGAGTGAGAAAAAGCTCTTCCTGTGTTTCCTGTATTTCTCCATAAATGTGTTTACATAACATAGAAATTCTCCCCTAATTAAAGCAGCAAATGCAAAAGGCTCAACCTCACACAGTTAGATGGATCTAACTCTGGCTTAACACTCACCCGGAATTCCATTACATCCACAAAGGTCTGATAATAGGGAGTGAGTGCCCGAAAAATATCTGCTTTCTCTTTGTGTACCGGACCCAAGTGTTGCTGTAAGGGAGAAAAAAGGCAGGCATAAGGTGGTGTGTAAGCTCTACAGCAGCAGCCTTAATGTATCACCATTTTTTGCTTAAAACTATGGTCCCCAACCTTTCTGGCTTGGCTGATCGGTGAAAGTGGGAGGTGGAGAAGGGATGGTTCTGTGTAAGTGACAGGTAAGTGTGACAGTATGTACAGCTCCATTTGCGCAAATGTTGTTCGCCCGTGGCTTATGCAAGTGGAAGTGTGCATGTGCGCACTCTGACCCACCACTTTCATGGCCCAATGGTGGACAGAGGCGCAGGGCTTGGGGACAAAGAGGCAGAAAGCAGTCATAATGGGTAGAGAACTCCTTGCTCTTCCTGAATCTTTTTTTTTTCCCTACCAGGGTATTTCAAAATTAATCTTTTTTTTAAAAAAAAATGCTTTTAAAATAATAATTAAACAATTCTTTGAAGTTAAGTTTGAGTTTGATTAGAGCTAGGCAATATTGGATTATTGAGCATGATTTAGAAATACATTTTCACATGTATTACAAGAAGACAGAACAGCTAATATTGCTTTTCCCTTTTCACTGCTGTAAGATCATCTTTGAGAGTAAAAAACTTGGTTGTTAAAACAGAGTTATAACAGAATAACAGAGTTGGAAGGAACCTTGGAGGTCATGTAGTCCAACCCTACGCTCAAGCAGGACATCCTATGCCATCCTGGACAAATGGCTGTCCAGTTCTCCTCTTAAGAATCTCCAGCGATGGATCACCCACAACTTCTGGTGGAAAGCGGTTCCATTGGTTA